GGCATTGGTAAGGACTATCATTAACCAAATCTGACACTTAGCTGCTTTCTCTTGAAGCTTTAAAATCTCTGAATATACCTTCTTTGCAGTGCAGATGGAACATCCCAGGTACTTGGGGAAGGCACGACTCTGGCTGCTTCACTAAATACAGGGCCATGTAGTGCAGTTCGAATCACAATACATCCAGGATCAAAACACTGACGAGTTCTTCCCCCCCTCCCTTCAACACTCCCATTACCACTTTTGTCCACACAGGCATTAGAAAGAGAGGCAGCTTGAATTTTCTGAACTGTTTCACCCATCCACAGCTGGAATTCCAAAGTGAAATGAAAATGCCTTTAAAATCAACACTACATGGGAGCCTGAGAGAACAAGTTTTCCTTTGTTGTAGGGTATAGTATTATTTGCTGTAGGTTTTTGATATACATTCTAAATTAGGCCTGCAAAGGCATGCTTCATCTTTAATTCATCACTCTCAGCTGAAAGAGATTAGCAATGTCTAGCACGCACCCTTCGTATGGTGCTGACCTCATCAAGTATGGCCTGAAATTAATTAGCCTCATTCATTCCAAATGGAAAAGGATAATGGAGCTGCATTTTAGAGATGACCATCACAAATTGTATGCAGCATATTTAAAAGCCCCCCTATTTTCAAACTATGTAGATTAAAATTCTTTCCAGCACTTGCAATATGTCAGAGTTATCAAGGCACCGGGGGCAGCAACGGTCCCGTTTTGATTTGTGGAACTGGAAGTCACATTTTGTGCGTGTGGCTAGAAATGAAGCAAGTTTGTCGTCATGACAGAACACCTGGAATTCATTTGATGTTTCCAGGTGCTTGGGCATGCCTGGCATCAAACCCTTGATGTTTAAACATTCTTCTGCCAGGTCATTTCAATCAATCCGAAAGAGGTGTCCCCTTTCCCAAACGTCAGCTTGGGCTTGGGCCCCCGTGTCTCTCATAATCTAACTAGAAATCAGAATGGACGTGAAACAACGTCGCTCTTCAGAGTGCTGGGTAGTAAATAGGGACTTGTTAGGTTGACGTTTTTAGATATTCGTAGGCCGGATTTGCAGAAATATTCAGGTACCTAAGGATGCAGAGGCATGAAGGGCAAGATCTGCATACGTATTTAGGTTCCTCTTCTCTACAGGTTTCTAAAGGAGGTAGGCACCTAAGCTCTTTTGATAAATCCCACAAGATACTCATCTACATCTTTAGGCGCCTTTACAAATCAGCCACGTTTTAAACTATTGTAGCGAACACCGTTTCACCATTGAATTACACAACTCCACCCGCAACACATACTTAAGGCTGGTTTCTTCACCACTGAATGGGGCGGAATCAAGGTTGTGACCATCAGACCTTCTTTCATACCTAGCAAAATGTTTTATTAGGGCTCTTTGAGACAGGTTGTATACAATTCTTGGATAAAGGTAGGGGCTGGGTGCTGGATCAGGCCCTAAGATGTTTATAAGCACCACCCCCTCCCAATAACACAGAAGAATCTCTCTATACATGCAACACTTGAAAAACTAAGTATGAGCTTTGCTACACCACAGTGGTCCAATATTATTTGCAGTATTGTGGCTCTAATCGTGTTTTGTGCCTGATACACAAGAAAGAGAAATATGTCCATGATAACCCAACTGTGTGACATCTGCTGTGATCACCCAATGCCCTGAAAAGTGAGCTTTAATTATCCTTCCTTTATGCATATTTAACTACAAATATTTTTCCTGTAAAGGATCCCACAGAAATCAAACTCTCACCATGTTCAAAATCAGGCCTGTTACTGCAACTCCCTGAACTTCTATTTGCCCGCTCATCTGACCCAGGTGGGGACCACTCACTTCTTGGAGCTTCCAGGTTTAGGTTGGTCAAATAAAACGAATAGATGTTATGAACAGAAGAAGAAATCATGCCATACCTATAAAAGCCGTCTTTTCAGGGGCAACACAGAATAGATTAAACGGTTGTGTTAGCCTGTATAGTGATCCCGTGTCAATTTTGTTTGTAGATGTTATCTCTTCTCAGAACGGTTTCCTCCTAAATTAAACAGACTGTTGAAGATGAGAGAAGCATCTTGACCCAAATATATACAGATTTGTACACAGAAGCCTTCTGATCCCCGAGCAACCCACAGTAAAATCTTGTCATGATGGAATAATAAACATTTATCATATTTTTCAACTTTCCAAAGTTTGCAGTGTACCAAGACAATTGCAATTGGCTCTCTTCATTGGTCTCTTAGTTAAGGATCAAGATTCGGCAAGATGATTGCTTTCCTGGCATCCTATGAACTAACTGCATCTGATCATGAATTTTACTGGATATAATCTGTCTTCAGTAGGTCCCTCCTCTCTCCCAGCACACCCCCTTCTCTTTCCAGTCTCTCCCCACTCCCCCTAAGCAAACTGGTATTTTGGTTGGTTTATTTTAACAAGAAGAAGCAGTTCATAAATTCCAGCTAGGTGGGGTGATTCACGTGGGACAAGAACACATCTTTAAAAATAAGCTGAACACACATTTTTAGGCATGTGTAACATTTCTAAGTAAGCACAGATTTTCAATTCAGCCGTTTTACTACTGAAAAAATCAATATCCTCGATAATCCAAGGCATTCAGATGAATTTGAACTGTCGTGATTACCATTTTATTTCTTGCAGAATGGTTAGACCAGGAGGCCTACTCATGATACAGGACTATTTTCACTTAGGAGCTACCTGTATTTTTGGATTCAAGATGCAAGCAATTCTGTCATCCAAAAAGGGGTCATTAAGATTGTATTCAAATTGGTAGCTTGATTCATCCCTCTTCAGTGAGGACTCCAAAAATGAACATTATTTGGCTTTTTTAATATAAATATCATATAACAAAGATCTTTAAATGATGCTGCTTACCCAACCAGATTCCAAAACACGCGGCATGTTCCCATTCACGTAGATGGTAAACCTCAGCTTCTTCTAGACAGGGGTTTGTTACCCGTAGAGCGCAATTTAGGACAGGGGAAAAAAACAAAGTTGGGAACAACAACGTATCTAGAAAGTGTAGATTGGTTTAGATAAGCAAGATGCAATTGCCAACACTGGAATTTGGTGACGGCACTCTGAGTGCAAGAAGCAAATCTTTACCCATTCAAGCAAAAATTTGCTTACTTTCAATAACGGCATTCATGAGACACTGTGGTGGCAGACTGACATCAGTGGGTGACCTTCTGGACTCAGGCTGCCTATTGCCACCCTAAGCAAAATGTAGCAAGTTCATCGGAGGATGGTCATCAACTCTGAATGCTCCCTTGTGGGCGTAAGTCAGATTTTTAACCTAAGCCAGGATTTTTGCTGTGTTTCCTTCTGAGGAGTGGTTGGGGGGGGGGGGGGG